TGTATATTCTTCTTTTAGCATATTGTAGCTAGTGATGAGCTCATTATGTATCCTCTCAAGTTTATCATGTTTTTCTTTAAGCTCTTTCATAGAAGATTTGAGCTCTTGAGTTTGGATGACATAGCATCATTTGATTTTCTAAACTCAACACTAGACTTTTTACTATATCACATTTAGCTAAAAGAGAATCATTCTTAGCTTCTAACTTGTCATTCTTATCTCTAGTCTTTCTAATAATCTTAGTATATTGATTTATCAATTTAATAAGATCATCATATGAAGGTGATTCATATTTATCATCATCACTATCACTATCACTATCATCATTATTAGCATAATCATCACCACTACTACCATCATCATTTGATACCTTTCATTCACTCTTGGCCATAAGGCATAGGTGTGTAGAGGATGATGACGGTGGTGTCGGTGAAGATGATGAAGAGTCAATCACAATGGCGGCCACTTTCTCATTATCACTATCATCATCGGATGAGCAACTTGATGAATTAATGTCCGTGAGCCCATCACCGACGATGTATGCCTTGCCATTTTTCTTCTTGTGGAAGTCCTACTTCTTGCCATCTTTCTTCTTGTATGGCTTGTTTTTCTTCTTCTGATCTTCATCGCTTGAGTCATATTTATTGTCCTTGTTCTTCTTGTACTTGTCTTGAATGTTAAGTCTTTATCTTTTTTCTTGGTAGAGGATGAGCCATCTTGTGGTGCGATGTGCATGTATATCTCATGAGCATTGATCTTTCCTAAGATTTGAGTTGGTGTAGCGGTGGAAAGATCACCTTGATGAAGCACGGTCACAATATGACCATATTTATCAATGGGGAGGACACTCAAGATTTTTCTTACAACATCGGATGGTTGCATTTGAGTGAGTCCAAGCCCATTGACTTGTTCTACAAGAACATTCAAGCGTGAGTACATTTCATTAGCACTCTCTTTAGGAAGCATCTCAAAAGAATTAAGCTTTTTCATTATGAGATGATAGCATTCCTCATGTTCGCTCTTAGTTCTCTCATAGAGCGCATAAATATCCGACCATAGTGCATGGGCGTCCTTATTGTTCCTCACCCGGTTAAACAAATCTTTACAAAGACCTCTAAAGATGGTGTTCGAGCATTTGCATTTCATTTCTCATAGTTCACTTCATCGCCTTGAAGGTGCATGGGATCCCGAGGTTTTGGGAATCCTTGTGAGGCGGCTCTAAGTATTCTAACATCTAGAGCTTCTAAATACGCCTCCATACGGATTTTTCAATAAGGAAAATCACCCCCCTCAAAGATAGGAGGAGGTTCATCCCCGTGAGACATCTTTCTCTAGGTGGTTAAACCTAAATACGTGAGTACGAGGCTCCGATACCAATTGAAAGGATTAAGATACCCAAGAGGGGGGAGTGAATTGGGCTAATTCTAAAATTCTTTTGTAATAATTAAACCCTACGGTTAACCCACTTCACCCCTTGTGCCTAGAAAGTATTTCTATTATTCTACCACATAAAAGTTTAGCAACATATGTTTCAATCCTACTCTAGCATGGTAATTATATGAATGTAAAGACAAGAATTGAATTGCTCAAAATAAATGCTTAAATTAGAGAGAGAGAAGGAGGAATGCGGTGATGTTTTGCCGAGGTATCGGAGAGTCGCCACTCTCCACTAGTCCTCGTTGGAGCACCTGCGCAAGGGTGTAGCTCCTCCTTGATCCGCACAAGTATCAAGTGCTCTCTACGGGTTGATTCTTCGACACTCCGTCGCGGTGAATCACCCACAACCGCTCACAACTTCAGTTGGATCATCTATAAGCTCCACCGGATGATCACCAAGCTCTCAATCACCATCAAGCCGTCTAGGTGATGGCGATCACCAAGAGTAACAAGCACGAACTCTCACTTGACCACGACAAGCCTAATGAGAAGGGTGGATGCACACTTTGCTATTCTTGCTTTCACTAATAAGGCATCTCTTGGATTCTCAAATCTCAATCACCTTACTAGGATCTTGCTTTTCTTGGCACTCTCAAGGGTGTTTCTCAGCTGTTGGAATGAGCAAAAGTGATCCCTTGAGTGAATAGAGGAAGTATATATAACCCCTCATTCAAAACGAATCATTATGTGTCACTGCGGGGTGACCGGACGCTCCGGTCAATTCACCAATCATCGAAGAAGCTTTAAGTTGTGACCGACATTGACCAGTCGTCCGTCGGCGTTGAAAACGCGCCTCTAGAACCCTCTAGAACCTAACTTGATGTTAACCCAATGTCTGGTCACTTTGCGTCAGGTCGATCAAGAGCCGAACTCGACCAAATCGTCCGGTCAAGATCGACGGACGCGTCCGATCAGGATTCTCCCTCTCTAGGACCTTACTGGAGTTGATTGGACTCTGGCACCCAGCGTCCGGTCATATTTCACTTAGCGTCCGGTCGCATCCAGACGACTTCACCTTGATCAAATGAATTGACCGGACTCTAGCGCCAGCGTTCCGATCACACCGGAACCAGCGTCCGGTCAACATTTGACCCTCCATTCATTTCCAACTCGCAATCATATGTGAATAAAGTTTGCTCCAATTGATCTAATAGCTTTTTAGAAGCTACCTAGTGCTAGGTTTAACAAGTGTGCACCACATCTAACCCACTAGACTCACTTAGGTCAAGCTACCCGTCCATACCCCTTAATAGTACGGCCAAAGAAAAATAAAGTCCTAAACTACTCTAAGTGTCTCTTCAACACCAAACGACACTTAAAACTAGTTCATTCTTAACCTTGTCGTCCATCATTTGAAAACCAAAACGATTTTCATCGTAGGGGCATGACAACTATGATTGTCCAATCAATTGTTATTACCGTGACTTAACTTAATCGCTTCTGTAAAACACATGTTAGTCACGAATAATCTCGTATTGTCGTTAATTACCGAAACGATGTCTAGTCGTAGACCACGCCGCAAGCCACGCTGCACGGCGCGACGCCACTGGAGATGTGTACACTGTAGTAGTACATACGCAGTCCCAGTCCCAGTCCCAGTAGCTCAAAGCCAGTCGTGCTTCTAGAAACAAACCGGCCCGCGACTCGAAACTTTGGTTTTTCACGTGTTTCGTGCTTTCGGCGCGATTTCCTTGGTCGTCGTCGAAAGGCCCCCGTCGCTCTGTCACAGCCACAGGAGGGGCGACGCAGGCAGGCCACCGAAAAGGAACGGAAGCACTGTGCCCTTAGTTCAGCAGTTCCCTTGGCTTGATCGTGGCCCCTACGTCTTGGGTTGACGGTAGCATCGATCTTCTAACTAGCATGATTGGTAAATAAAAATATAATGTTTTGGCACTGGCAACTCCCTTGCCCGATTATATTGTTGGCTCAAAAATTTCACCGAATTCGACATCCGAACCCATGTCCAAATGTCTACACACAAATTTTGATAGTAAAATTGACTAATAATTATTTGCTAAATATCGCAAGACAAGTCTATTTATTCATTTGTTGCTTAATTTGTGCACCACCTTGATTTTGATTGAAGTTGCTTATGCAACACACGCATGTTTTACAACAGCTTGGCAATCAGCACTCGAATTTATCTACCGTCCTAACATGACCGGACAGCTCTCCTTTCTTCTTCAACCTTGAACAGTTTCTTTTTTAGGCCTTGTTCATTTGTTTTTAAAATTAAAAAAAAGGACTAAGGGTCTGTTCTTTTCATCCCCAGTCCAAGTGGATTGGAGTCAATCCATCCTCAATCCCCTTCAATCCATTTGAATTGGGGATCAAACAAACAAGCTCTCAAGGGGATTGGAGGGGGTTAAGACTTGAGAGGGATTTTGACTTATAGGGGATTTATAATTCCCCTCAATCCTCCCAACCGCTTTAGTTTTGAGATCAAATAAACACGCCGTTAATTTGTTCACAAAGCTCGGCTGGGAACATCAGCGTCTACCTCATCCCCAGTGGCTCCTCGTTGTTGGGTCCACCACCTCCTCCTCCTCCCTCCGCCAGGCTAATCCGCCAAAGAAAGAGTAGAACGGAGTGTGATGTTGAGAGAGAGAAGAAAAATCAAGTGCTGACTTGGGTAGAAACACATGAGTGTAGTTTAAAGTTGCCAATTTGCTTTTACTTAGGAAAAAGTGTGCTTTTTATAACATTCCAATTGGTCCGAAATAACTAATGCAAAATTAACTTCTATATTTTAGTAGCGAGATTCTGAAAACAAAGAAATCCAACAACTGATTTTTTAAGCTACTTGAAAACTCATTGGTTTACCCATTGAAATTTTGAGAATTATTGAAGATGCTCTAAGACCTAAAAACACACATCCCTTAATATATGAACCAATTAATAATATAGATAGTTACAAAATTCTTTTTAAAATCTTCTGCCCTAGCTCCCTCCCTCGCCTTCTAGTGCATCGCATATAACTTAATCGTCTAAATTCGATTAAATTTAAATTTAAATAACTCTAAAAATTGATTCATTCGTGATGCTTCGGCCACAATCGTCGAACTGCTTCAGCTAATCAAGTTAGAATCAGGCATAAAAAAAATCAAGTTAGAAGCAGACCAATGGATTGAGGCAGGTGCTGCCGGGCTTGCAGACCTCGCCAGAGGATAACTGCGCCCTCAGGCTTCAGTAAACGTTGTTTTTTCCATCATGTAGCCCAAACTGTTAAGCCGGCAAAATCCTGTATTTCTCAAACTGCTTTCCTACTTAATGAAAATGATGAGCAGATCTCACATCTAAAAATTGCATAATGAGTGAGATGACGACTGGTAAGTGACACCTGCCCACAGGCCACAGATAGGGCACCGGTACATGTTACACGTGACCTTCGCAAAATCGCAGGTTACAATCAAGGCTGTGTGTGCTCCCTCCGTCTCCGTGTCCTCGCCCCTCGGTTTGCCGCCCGCCGCCGCCGAGGCCTCCTCTTCGACAGCTACTCCTTGACCCCACGGAGGCGGTGCTGGGCGGTGGCCCTCTGTCAGGGTGGACACATCCCCGCGCCCATGGCCAACCGCGGCGCTGCAGCCGGCAAGCTCACCGTCGCGGAGACCTTCTCCAACCTCAGGGAGCAAGGCAAGGTGCGTGCATTTGAGCCCTCACGTTCGCGCTTCGCTTCGTCGCAACCCTTGGCCTTGGGGCCAATTCACCCGAGCACCCACATTTCTCTTGCTAATCCTGATTGAGTCGCGAGGTTGGATTGCTGGCGCCGTGGTGGCCGATAGCCAATGTTGGTCCCGGTTAGTTGCAGGGAATACCTAGTGTTGGTCCCAGTTAGTTGCAGGGAAATGGATCAGGGCTTGAAACAACCTGTGCATTCCTTGCATGTAATTGTTCAAATATAGTGGTTTTATGTCGAATACACACCGTGGTGGTCTTAATTTCCGTAAAAATCTAGCCTTATCTTGCACAATAGTGGCTGGATGTGCATTACTGAACTGTCTTTGTCCGCAAAACCAGTGTTTCCATCTTTAGGTACCATAGTGTTCATTCTCAGCCAAGGTAACTGAACTGCACTAAGAAATTTGTATCCAGAGTAGCAATAAGATGTTTAGCAGAGACCAACCTTTAATTGCAGGGATCTTGCCTTTTTATGGTGCAGCCGTGCTGTGCCATAGTTCGCAAATAGTCTTTTTGGAGTAGATTTAGTATAAGCTGCCTGTCTAACCTAGGAATTTTCAGACTGCATTCATCCCGTTCATCACTGCGGGCGATCCTGACCTGGCAACCACATCGAAAGCATTGAAGATCCTCAATTCCTGCGGTTCGGATGTGATAGAGGTTGGTGTACCGTACTCGGATCCACTGGCTGATGGACCAGTTATTCAGGTAGTCGTGGTGGCCTTTTCTCTCACCAGCTGCAACATAGTATGTGACTTGCTACAGATTTTATAGTTTTAGATTGACATCATTTCAGGCTTCTGCAACACGGGCGCTTAAGAAAGGCACTACACTCGATTCTGTCATAGAGATGCTGAAGGGGGTTACACCTGAGCTTTCTTGCCCCATTGTTCTTTTCACATACTATAATCCAATTCTAAAACGTGGTGTGGGAAACTTCATGGCTATTATCAGACAAGCTGGCATCCATGGTAAGCTTCCATTTTGGTTGCTTCATATTTTCTATTACTATAAGTGATGTCTTGTTCTTGCATCTTCTGTTTATTATAAACATGATTCACATTTGTTCAGAAATTTTGTTCTCTTCGATAAGATCTTTGTTTTACACTTGCTATATGTCACAGGACTTGTAGTTCCTGATCTTCCTTTGGAGGAGACAGCGTTGCTGAGGAGCGAGGCCATTATGCACAACATAGAGCTGGTTCATACCCACTCTTATCTTTTCATGTACCACTTGTTGCATTTTGCGTACTTGTGTTGCCATCTGGGTGCTAACTACATTCTTACTTGTGATGGGACCTATCAAATCTCCAGCTTGACTATGTCCATTCCAGGCCTACAAAATACAAAGTTGCAAAATGATCTTCTGGGCCTTGGGATTAGCCCAGTCCTAGAAGCAAGGTCTAGCTAATTGGGCTCACACACGTCAGCTGGGTTTGTCCAGTCCACTAAGTTCAGGATAGGTTATGCTAAGGCCATTTTTTTATATAATTTTTGTAACTCGGTTTGGTGCTGCAACAGAATAGCTTTGCTTATTAATCATGGTGGACTATTCAAAAGAATAGATATCTTGAGTGTCAGCCATATTTTATTTATATTTTGCATGATTGCTTGCAGGTGCTCCTTACAACGCCAACCACACCAACAGATCGGATGAAGGAAATCGCAAAAGCTTCAGAAGGATTTCTTTATCTTGTGAGTGCCCAGAAGATCCCAACTATTTGCCTAGTTCAAAGCTCCAGGCATGGTTTATATATTTTGGGTAACTTTTTATATATGCACTAGCACATACCACATAAGCAATAATATCATGCCTGTACATTAATGAAATGTTATACCGATTTTTTGTCTCCTGCTTGTTCATGACATGTTTTTCCAGAAAAAATATAGGCGAAATTAGAGGGAATTATTTAGGTTTAGAGTAAAAACTATGGCACCTGGAACAAACACCAAACTTTTCTGTTTCACCATCATTTTCAGCCTTTTATCTTGTGTGTAGGGTTTAGTGGCATTACTAACCTGTGTGTTATGTAGGTGAGTGCTGTAGGAGTTACAGGTGCACGCTCAAATGTAAACTTGCGCGTAGAACATCTTCTTAGGGAGATCAAGAAGGTTAGTAAACTATAACCTGTTTTTCATCAGTAAACAGTGAATCAGTTTTAGTGCACCCAACATCTCTATAGAAATTTGTGTTCAAGAATGCTTATCTTCCTGATGTTACAGGTTACAGACAAACCTGTAGCTGTTGGTTTTGGTGTATCAACTCCAGAGCATGTGAAACAGGTGGACTAGACTTCTCCTGACTTTCTTGCTAAGCATGAGGTCTAATAGTATCTGTGTTACACCCTTTTGATATCTTCATTAGTAAACAGATCGCAGGCTGGGGAGCAGATGGTGTGATTATTGGCAGCGCAATTGTCAGACAGCTGTGTGAAGCTGATACTCCTGAAGAGGGGCTGAAAAGGCTTGAGGAGTACACCAGGAGTATAAAGGCTGCTATGCCATGAGATGATCACTCGCATCACAGGCAAGATATTTAGAACATAGCAAAATATTGGTTTTAGCAATATTCTGGCCATGGGTTTGGCATTCATAATTCATCTAGTGACTAGTGCTACATGGTATCTCTCCATTGGTCAGAACAAAGTCCAGCTTTGCCTATAATACAAAAGTTCATACTGAGTGTGAAATTTCTGATGAAAAAGTGATTGTGAAATATCAGTTCATAATGATAGGCAGATCCCTGTTCGTTTGGGCTTGTTTGGCTTATAAGCCATGACTGAAAGTACTGTTGGCTGGTTTGGTGTGAGAGAAAAATACTAGTTCGTTGGCTGATAAGCCATGGCTTATAAGCCAAATACGATCAAGTGAACAGGTTGACTGACTCTTGAGAGGATAGGAATAAGAGAGGATAAGGTCATGATGATTTATATGGCTTTCCGCTTGCTTCAGGTCTTCGGCTTGAACCCACAAGTTGGTGTCCAGGGATGAGGCAACGTGATGGCTGATTGGCTGCACTGAAAATGACATTACCTTGAGCCAATTCGTCTTGCTCTCTTCTGCAAGACTTTCAAGGTCCATCAGGCTGGGTCACAGAACGATCCCAATGGACCCAGATGTTGGTGTTTTGGATAACGGAAAGTCAATTCTGGCCTATATTTATGTCGGGTCCTTTTATAGCCTACCCATATTTATAGTCAAATCAGTCCCGGATGTTAACACTTCTCTAATCCCTATCTATGGAAACTTTTCCGGTGCTCATCATATCATGCATGTTACTAATAACATGTTGGATGAATAAATTCTTTAGCTTTGTCATGCCAGCATGAAGCGTATCTGGATGTGAAGAAGCGGTGTTGATATTGAACTGTCCATGTACAGGTAGTTGCATATGACTTGTGCTCCCTTCATAGCATTTTTGCAGCTGTGCTTTGACGAGTGAATGAACAGCTAAAATTGGATAGGCTCTCCTCACTAGTGCAACGGCTAGGGCCCATGAAAAGTCAATTGCTTGCGCCAAGACGCACCCGGGATCCGGGAAGCGACGCGCTGCCTTCTCGCGCTCAAGCTGGGTCCTTGAAAGAGGGAAAAAGATGATGAACAGTTAGGATCAGCATGTGAGCTTTGACTCCAGCGTTTTCTTGGATTCTTATCGAAACATACGGCTTCAAATATGGCACATGTTTGGGCAGGCACACAAGAATAGGGAAAATTTTCGAGCACTATTTCCCTAAAAAACAAAACTTAAAGCTCTAGTGCACAAACTCAATTTGGGTGCAAGTGTAACCCGAGTTATTTTGTATACTAGTACTTAATATACTCTCACTTAATCCCAAAAAAAACATATATTGGTGGGATTAAAAGGGTGGGGAAACATATATATTAAAAATCCATCAATATGCATATAATTTCCTGAGGTTTTATTTTTGAAAAGGAAATTAATTTTCTGTGTTGATCCGATGTCGTGACTCTAACCAATAGAGAAAAAGAGGACCCGACAGCGTGCAAACCGGGGGAATACAAGCAAGCGAGTCTTTATCCATGGAAAAGGATTCAAAGGGCGCGGCTTTTTGGATGAGACAAAATCTCAAATCAGGCAATAACAAGGATATCCCTCCATTCGGAAACGGGAAAGGGGGAGCAGCCAAGAATCTATGCCTGCACTTTGGCTTTGGGTCATGTCACTAGTGGTGCGCAAAAGGGGATAAGCTTGGACCACGCAGTAATCGACCGTGTCCACGTCACGTTGTAGTCGAATCGTGATTCGCCTATATCGACGCCATGTCACCGTCGCCATATAGTATGTCCTGACATTTGGATTTTGGAGGTCCGTCTAATCCTTCCTTTCAATTCGGTTGATCATGTAAGATTGGTGAACGCCACGTGTTAAAAGAGGCCACCATTAGATTTTACTTTTTTTTTATTAAGCATAGTAACCACTCAAGATGAAGACGACGGTTTGTTCTATGAGTTTTTTTGGGTTTGGTTTAACTTTGAGCTAAATTCGTAAAATGGATATTTTATACATAATTTCATAGTTTATCACAAGGAAAATATTTAGAAGACGATAAAAATAAACTCTTAGATAGTTGCAACCGGCTAGTTCATAGTTCATACTGGCTCGATATCAACTACTCCCTCCGACTTACGCGGTACACTTCCTTCCGTTCTCTTTCATCGGCGTTCTGGCTATCAAGTCAAAGGGTCTTTCGTGAGAAAAAAAGTTGCCAGACAGGCTTCTGAGAAATAGAAAGTCTCTTTTCACTACTCCTTACTAATAAAAAAGTGAAGATCCTTACACGTACTCTATTCGGGAAGAATGATCTTCGGTAAAAAGAGAAAGAGGTCTTCAAAACCCATCTCAGCCCAGGCTAACGGAGCCTGACTTATTCAGGGGAGAGAGTGGAGCCTATCGAAGCACTCTTGAGAGTAAGATCCTTGGCTCCTCTTCATTCTCTACAGGGGTCTTTGCCCACATGGGCCCGGGGACTTTCAGTAACTTTATGGAAGAAGCTTTCAAAAAGAGGCTCAAAGGCTTTTTACGTCAGTCATCTCTTCAAACAAACCTTCCTGCAACTTCTTACTTGCCTTTTGAATTTACCTTCAAAGCTGGCTTTACCTATTTATCTTGACCAGAAAGGAATTGATAACTATCCTATAATATAGTCTATCTAAAATTCAAAATTTGTACCTAATTATAAGGGATTTTAGGGGATAAGAGATAGTTTTGCATTAGATAGAAGCGCAAATTTGATAGATATTGTACAATTACTTACCATTTATCAACCAATCTCCATTAATCACGCTGATGATAGCTCAACTAGGAAATAAGGTAAGGGCACACGTGTCTTTTGTATTCTCTCTTAATTTATTCTAAAATCTCTAAAATACACTTAACATGACGGGAGATACTCTATTCGTTCCAAATTACAAGACATTTTGGTGTTTCTTGATACATTATGTTTATCACATATCTAGACATAATATATTTCTAAGTGTATAGCAAAAACTATGTATCGAAAAAAAAACACGAAACGTCTTATAATTTAGAGTGGAGGAAGTACTAAATTTCCTGAATTTTCTTTCGTACAAAAAAATAAACTGGTAAATACATGCCATTTATAAGTTCTCATTTCTACAGAAAATACACATTTAAGAAAAAAAATCTCAAATTTTGTTTGGTGCAAGGAAAAAACAGCACATGCCATTTAGAAATTCTCATTTCTACATAAAAATAGACACAAAATACACATTTAAGGAAAAAAAGAGAGAAGAGATTAATACTTTCATATACATCCGTCCCAAAATAACTACACATCTTTACAAGAAGCTAAGCTTTTTAAAATTTAATAGATTTATAAAAACTTTTATCTAAGATTTATATCTCTTAATATGTTTATTATGAAAATATATTTTCCTTTGTCGGTGATATCTAGAATCAATCCTCAACATGTCATTGATTAGTACTATATGGTGGTATATAGATAAAAAGGAGCTTTCCAATGAGAAAAGAGGCGTGTATAAGGAAAAAAAGATTCATTGTCCAAATAAAGGACAAACAAAACCCCACGTTTTTTAAAGTAAAACTGGCGTGCGCGTACCCGCGTAGAGGCGTGAAAGCCGACCGTGCTGACTTTATTTACTTACAGCCACCGTCCCACCCCATCTTCTCTTCTTCCCCTCTTCGGCTCTTCCCTTCCATTTTTCTCTCTTCTCTTCCACTAAACCAAGCCCGGCCAGAGAAATTTCTCCCAAATTTCAGATCAAATCCTCGAATCCTTCGACACCTAGCCAAACCCCGGAGAATTCTCCAGAGTAGCGTCGCGATCCGGCTCGATCCGGCATGGAGCGCGTGTTCTCCGTGGAGGAGATCCCCAACCCCTACTGGGCCCCGCCGCACCCTCAATCGGCGGCCGCCGGCGCTGTTGCTGCACCAGGTGGAGGAGGAGGAGTGGGGGACGCGGCGGGCGCGATGAACCGGTGCCCGTCGGAGTGGTACTTCCAGAAGTTCCTGGAGCAGGCCGTGCTCGACAGCCCGGGTCCCGTCGCCGGCGTCGGTAGGGGCAGCGTTGGAGCTGGAGCTGAGGCGGCGGAGAGCAAGCCGCTTGGGGCCGCGGCGCCGGCGGCCGCCTCGAGCTCGGTTGTTGACCCCGTCGAGTACAACGCGATGCTCAAGCAGAAGCTGGAGAAGGACCTCGCTGCCGTCGCCATATGGAGGGTACGGTCACTTGCCTTTAGCTGCAGCTCACCTGCAATGCTGTTTGGTTCGAATGGTCAAGGCTTATAGTAGCTTGTTTGCGTTCTTATGTGGTCAGTCTATGATATACATGATGCTGCACTGCTGTGCAACCGCATAGTTTTCTTAGAGATTTCTAGAGATCTAGAGGACACGGAACAGCCAGCAGTCCAGCGCAATATCTCATATTCCTAGCCCTTTGCAATGAGATAGTGGTGCGAGTGATCATGTGCTTTTAGGACTAGGGAAATGTGGAATTCGTGGAGAATTCGTGCATTTATATGACATTAGGTTATTGCAGTATTGTAAGCTGATGATTCCTGGCATTTCATGTGTGGGTGGTTAAATGCAACTGCTGTCGTGCAGCGGTTCATAGGTGATTGTACACTATTTGAATTATGAATAGTGTCAGCTTGATTTGTCTCCTATACGTTTTTGTTGTTATATACTCTTGGGAATTATATGAGCCTGGCTTATCAGAATATATAGCTACTGGATATGTTTATCAGAACTTCATGGTTGAAGCATCGAGTTATCTTTCCTCAACGTCTGTTATCGAGTGATTTCCCTTTTTTGTGCCCAGCATCAAGTACGACAGTAATATGAGTGGGAGCCCAATATGCATGGTTTCAATTTTCTCCTAGCACTCTTTCTGTGTTTACATTTATATCTAATATTTCTGATACCATTTTATCCACAGGCTTCTGGTGCAGCACCTCCAGATCGTTCTGCAGCTGGTTTTTCCTTGCCAAGTGTGGATGTTCCGCCTGC